GCCCTGACAATAGGGGGTCAAGAGAGGACCAAAGCAGCATCAAGCGCTGAGATCTCCGCCCATTTTCACCAACTCGCTCGGCCGTTGTTGCTGCCGCAATGTTCTGAGTACTCTGTGCCTACCTGGTTACTATAACCACAGAGATTATTCCTTCGGGAAACCATTGATAGAATGGCTTTTCATCAACTATATTGAGTTTCAGGTTACCGAAACTATGAAGCTCACCGTTTTCGCCCTAATCGCTTTGTTCACCATCGCCTTACCTACCGTTTCATCGCTGGACATTATTTGTGGCATGTGCAAGAGTGTAGCTGGCACTGTCCTAGCAGTGGTCGAAAAAGGAGGAAACGCGGTTGAGGTCACCAATTTGATTTTATTCTATAATCGTAAATTAGTCCCTTTCCACAGTATGAAGAGCACCAACATATATGGCGTGCCTTCGCGGCGCTGTTAATATTAGATTTTCGTTTCATGTATAGTCATTTTCGCTGCAGGTAGATGTTGTGTCGAGAACTGTTGCGCACATGTCTGGGGGTCTCTGCGACTTCAAAGTCTAAATTCGCCTCATACCCAGGAAACAGGCGGCCACTGTACTAGGGAGCCCTCTGGCAGTAGGCGCAGGGTACAGCACCGTGATATGTGAAATAGTGGTGTAGGTACGACTCCCCTCTCGGGGGAGTCTTGTTAAGACCTCGCTCCTATTTTCCAGCACCTACCTAACAATTTCCCACATCCAAGAATTTTCCTACTTTTCCCCAAAAATTTTGCTATCAACTATTAGGCGGGAGGAACACATTAAACATAAAGCAGGAAAAATCAACCGCAAAAGTCAACAACCGGGAAAAATTCCTCCCAGCACGGGCAAAGTGGCAAACTCCTCTCAAAGGCACATACGACCTCCCCCTCTCTTCCAACAACGAACAATACGACTCCCCGCCCTCCCAGTGCAAAAGTACGCCTCCCCCTCCCTATGTGTTTCACAGAACGATGCTGACAGTTTCTCAGCCTGGCCTCTCACCGTAGAACAAGCGAACACTAATGTGGCAATGCTGGGTTTTTCAATGAGGAGCGAACCCTTTATGTGGTACTGTATTACCTTTCACATTCTTCTATAAAGCCGATAAACAGATAGCGCTAAACCAATGGCCAAGGGTGAGCCAGATTGCGGCACGCGCGTGCTGACCAGGCGCAGCACGCTTTGTGCAGACTTATTTATACTCAAAATCCCTGAGATCGTGTGGGCACGGCTGCATGCTTCAACTTAATCTGAAGGAGTCCATGCTTCTGGTGAGATATTTTCATCCTGACAATTGTTGTCGTGTCGTGTCTCTGTCCAACACAGAACAAGATGACAGTTGTCCCAGACTGGAATATTCCACGAGTAACCAGTTCCGTTGTTCGAATGCCACGCCTACCCTCGCATAGGGATAAGGAGTAGCATTGTCGATAACCCAAGAGTGTGGGTATATTCCTGGAGTCACCCGGGATGAAGCATGCATGCAAAAAATTGCGGGATCAAACTACAGCTATGTTACTGACAACTTTCGAGAATATGTCAGCAGCTACACTCCTTATCCCTGAGACGGAGTAGGCGTGGCTTTTGAGCATGGCATAGGACGGGTTTCTCGTGGGATACTTCAATTTGAAACAACTGCTATCTTGTTCTGTGTTAGATGTAGACATGATTACGACTGCTCCAAAATGACAATATCTCACGAAAACCTGGGCCGCCGCCATTTTAAAATCAAGTACGCAGCCACGCCTACCCGATCTCAGGGGTTTCGAGTACACGTCCTTTGTTATTTCCTTAGCAAACACTGAAACCAAAACCCTGTTCGCGACTTGACTGACTCCATACAGACAGTTTAACTGAGTAGTTTCCAAATACACTGCGTTCCGTTTTCAATTTTTCTCAATTTTGTCCACCTTTTTGGCAACTGTCACATTTTCCCGGCTCGTCTTTTTTATCACTTGGCAGTTTACAACTTCATCCATCGTATGTCTGTACACAAAGAGTTGATGTATTATACGAAGTATATACAATATTTTTATATCATATGTATATGATAAAATCTCATTTGTTTATACTCAGCGCGCCACAAGTCGCGTCGATAAAAAGGCGTCGGCCATAGGAGCCGGTTAGCGAGAAAACGCCGCAACGGTTAACTGTTTCCAAGGAGGGAGGCAAGTCTCGTCCGAAGCTCTCTATGGAACTTCACAGTTTCAGGCAATCAACGATAAGTGCACAAAAAGCGCTCCAGCTTTTATGACTTCCATGTGCGAACTCATTTTTGGCAAAGTTGAAAGATTCAAAGGAAGGGCTCAAGTGAGATTTAAGCTTCTAGTTTCTCAAAGAATAAAGAAGGTTTCAATAGTTATAATAAAAAAACAGAGTCACAGAAAGGAAAGTGATTCAGCTTTACTAGATTCCATGATTGCCTAGGTATCCACCATGCTGGGCGTATATCATTAACCTTGTATGAGACGTTCTGTGGAGCATTCAGCGACACACCATTGGTTGGGAATTTTAGTCGAGTCGGGGTAAATAGCACATGTGAAACAGGAAAAGTCGCGAGACAATACGACCCCCCTCTACCAATTTTCAGATTTTCCCCAACTTCCTGCCCTTTTTTCCAAATTTCCCGAAAAGTTCCCTACTTTTCCCCAAAAATTTTGCTGTCGAGCGGGAGGGGGAGGTGCATATAATACGCGTGAAACAAGAACGTCACAAAAGCCAACCAGCACTCTTACAACGCCAAAACTAAATACAACCATCCCAGCCCAACAATGACCAAGTACGACTACCTCCCCCCCCCCTTTTAACGTCGTGAAGCGAGAAAAATCAACTATCTAAATAAATTCTTCCCAGCCCAAATGCGCCCCAGGGGATTTCCCAATAACGATGTGCTCTGCCATATAGACACAACTCTAGCACAACCCTTCACAGTTCTGCTTTATAGAACTCAACTATCTTTCTGGATATGCTATACTCTGCCCCTGTGAATTGTACCTAAATGGCGACGAAAGTGAATTTATAAGAGGATAGATCCTCTGTGCCGCGGACGGGTACTTAATTCACACATGTACGATCAAAAGAGGCGACCAGCGCGTTCACAATGCGCCGGCTCGTCAATCGGACACCCTATCGGGCTCACAATGTTCCTCCTGCGCTTGTGGGTGAAGCGGACCACCTTTTGAGAGCCATGAGCTCTTCCCTCCTATTCACGGCCCCAACGGCCGGGCATGTGACGGTAGGACCACGCGCCGTCGCGCGGCAACCGCGAGCATTCAAAAAAGGAGTCTCTGAGAGCATGTTGTCCAGAATGCATCATGACTGTCAAGTGATAAGGGACCCACCACTAAGCTTAATTAACCTGCGAGCAGAATCAGTGCATTTTTGTCTACACTATAACGGCTAATTGCTTTGTAATGTTATGCAAATAAAACAAAATCTAACGTAACGAAAACATAGGTCCTACCAGAGTAACGAGCGTATCTAAAAACTGATGCGAACATAATCTAATTGACGCAATGAAAAGGTGGTTCATCGCGAGCTTGCGCCTCATTGCAAGCACGCGATGTTTGCCGCGCGCGACGTCGCGTGATCCTGAAGTCTGTCCTCCCCCCCCTCCCTTCCCAGCACCCCAACAGTTGATGCACCATAGCACACCTTGAGAGTTCATAACCCGTTTGCAAAATGCAGGTAGGATTCGGCTTCCATATCTACAACCAACATTCCAAGCCAAGCGTTATGCAACACAATGCGGGTGGTAAGGTAGCATTCACACTTCGCGACAACAGGGTTTCGGTCGCAAAGTCTGAACGCTACCTAACAGTAAGACACCGCCTTCTTGAATGAATAGGGAGAGGCTGGTAAAAACACAGCTCTTTTTACCTTCGCACTTTATGTCATTACAAAAAATAAAAGCTTGCGTTTCTCCACTGCACATGATTGCAAAAAGGACAGTTCGGACTGCTTCTCTCTAGGATGAATTGAGCTTGGAGAACTAGGGAGTGATCGAACGGTTCAGGTGCCTAAACGAGTAATGCACACTTGAGACGTGTTGTCTATACCAGTTTCTTGTGCACTCTTAAGGTAGCGTTCAGATTCCGCGATGACGCGCGCCAACGAGCTGTAACGCTCGTAGACCCCCTACAATTGCAACAACGTTCCGATCCTCTGGACGCGAACGCAGCCGCAGAAGGGAATGGATAGGCGCCTCTGGCGCCGCCCTAGCGGCCAGTACTGACTGATACCAGATGCGTGATTAATGGTAAGCAACGCCTCCATAACCTCCCAACAAGTAAGCGGGAGATCATTTCCTATCTGCTGGGATCTATAGCATTTATAGCGCGCTACAGCGGTCGTCACGGAGCCTGAATGTCGCCTAAGAGAGCCATCAGAATACGGTTCCGACAGCAAGTAGTTACAAGTGACTTCTGTCCGCATTTCAGAGCATCACACCTGAACAAGCTTGTGCGAAGTTCAGAGCTTGTTCGATGACGGAAGAGACGAAACAGAGCCAGCCGGAGTCAGTGGTGGCGGGGAATGTCCAGTATTCGAAAGTCCTACAGCCAGAAAGTTCGGAAGAAAAGCAAGATCCACATGATCCACAGGATTACTAGGTGCATATAAGATGGTATATGCCTATATATTATGAATATTAATAAAGTAAACTAATGTATGTGTCGGGAATACGAGAGCACAGGTGAGTGCAAATTCCTCTAAGATGTGCCGGGCGCTCGATCTACATTCAAAGCAAAATCGCAATTCCGAAAGAAATTTTGTTGCGTGTCGCTATATATCACTCGAGACACGAGTTAGTCGGTACTGGTTTCAATATGGCGAGTTGGTTGTGGATGAATCCAGAATGAATGGTGTGGGAGGAGTGTAGGTGAGGGGTGCCTCTTCCCAACAGCATGCTGAGGGTGGGGTGGGGGAGGGGGGGGAGGTGTGGGGGTGTCCTAGTTTCCGGTTTTTCACCTCGAATTTTGCTTCGAGGTGGGGGGGGGGGCGGTGTAGTACCTTAAGAAACGAGGAAAAGATCACTAACAAAAGTCAGAAAACGATTAGAAGTTTTGGCACTATTTTACATTTTATGCTCCCAGTCATCGAAGATCAGGCGTTTTAGCCGTCTTTTTTCTCTTGTGGCAGATTTGCTGGAAACTTGGCTCGGGAAGGTAGTGTCGACCGCAAGAACAGAATATGCATCCGCTTGACCCGAAACCTCCTGGCGCCCGCGCCACGGGCGCCGGCGCCAAAATACTCGAAATCACCAAATTCGCTGAAAACTTGCTCCCAGGGGTAGTTTGACCCCCTGAACACGAATATCACATCCGCTCAACCCGAAACCTCCTGGCGCCCGCACCACGGGCACCGGCGCCAAAATACCCCAAATCATTGGCGCCTGTGGCGCGGGCGCCAGGAAGTTTCGGGCTGAGCGAATGTGATATTCGTATTCTGGAGGTCAAACTACCCCAGGAGACAACATTTGAGCAAAATCTGCCCACGGAGAAAAAAGTCGGTCAGGAACTGGCCTGATTTCGGATGACTGGGGCAGTAAAGGGTAAATAGTGCCGAAGTTTTTTCCAACGCGACGAATTTCTCTCAAAGGCACATACGACCCCCTCTCTCCCGGCGACTTAACACGAACCCCTCTCCTCAGCGGAAAGATACGACCCTCCTATGGGTTTTGCACAATGATGCTGTACCCTGGCAGTGAAATCGCCACACGCAACTGTTACTCACTGTGTAGAGGTTGGTCAGTGACGACGTAATTACTCGTTCAAAACAGAAGAAAATCTTGTCACACATCCAAGCATGAATGGCCGGAGTGTATAAGGCTAATATGTATGTCATGTCATGTTCCTGATAGCGCTATAGAGAAGAAACTGGTGCTCCCTTCTCTAGCAACATACTCGCCATTCACAATAAATCCACCGTAGAAAATCTAGCGACTACAAGACGGTACATGAGTTTGAGGCAGTTGGCACGATGGTTTCCTACTTAGCCTAAAATGCTAGTAGGGCGCTGTATAGTGGGGAAATGGCGAAAGAACGGAGTGAAACGGTCAAAATCCTGCGAAGAAAAAGCCTCCGTTCTGACTTGTAAATCGATTTCGGACGAGTTTCCCGTAGGCATCTTGCCAATCACCGCTACCGAAGATACGGCTGCATATGTGTACCCATATATGCATGCAGCATCACGCCGCTTCATACCAATCCCTTTGCTTCATAATTTGCTCAGCAAATGAATGAATACGAGCGTCAGAAACGGTCGTCCGTTTGTGGGCGGGCGGGCAAGGAAGGCGTTTGGGACGTAAAGTTGTTGCTCAATAGGGCGTTATAGAGGTACCCTCCTTGGAAAAGGCTTCACGCAGCGCCTGTCCGAGGTCACGGAATTCTGTTAAGCCAGTTGTACAAATCCTACACCTGTATAGCGATTTATCGTGCCAACTGCCTTTAAGTGTGGATGGTAGTAATACTATGTGATAAGATATAAACACAGTCTTTGAGAGACTATACCGATGGGACCCCATTTAGCTGAAGTGGTTGAGTTTCTGGCCATATCATTCGCTTTTAACACCAACTGTTTTCAACATAGCTGTCATCGGTCCTGAAAGACGTGAGTTTGCAATGGAGTAAAAAAGCTGGGACGAGTGCCGCAATTGACTGACGTAACCGTTCGTTCTGAGAACATGGTATCTGACAAGCAAAACGGAAAGTAGTAAAACGGCTCATCAGCTCGCGATGCGCCGCGCAGTGCAACACAGCAAGATGTGTACATGATATCACCACAAACAGTCGGGTAGTAATAAGCTGTCCCCACCTGGCCGCTTCCACCACTGGTTGTTCTCTTCGTAAATCGACCACTACCCGATCGCCATTGGTAGAGCAAAGCGGACGAGAGTAGGCTCATCCCGCCTTCGTCACGCAGTCCATTGCGGTGTTACAAACTATGCATATGTAGGACTGACTTGTCTGTTATTTGTAAGAGTAAAGATAATCTCATATCTATTTTTATTGACTAAAATCATCACCTTTCATTTGTTGTCAAGGTCTTTACCTTCAAAGCTTAAAAATTTGGCAGTGTGGAACTGTCTCCGCTTTGAATAACGGCGATGGCAGCAACGCTCCTCGTCGAACCCTATCAGTCATTATCTCTTTCTGTGACTCACCATTAGTGTCCACTCGATACATTACGTGTTGGGACTGACTTTCCATGGTTGCTGTGACCTGCGCTGAGTAATTAGGGACTCTTCTTTTAAAGCCCTCAAAGCATTCTGCGGACGGACAGAAGTACAAGCGTGCATATACACCGATACACAAAGATAGTGGTTCATGGAATAGAAGGATTCCGAATCGTTCTGATAAGCGGATATTGTTCAACACTCTGGGAACTGGTTGAGCACCATTTTACTTCAACTGCAGCGTTCTACTTGGTAGGTCCTCCACAGGCCAGCTCCTTTCATCATTATCGTCTGTAGCTCTGGAAAAGTGATTGTTTAGCAATTATGTTACCCGACGTCACACCCTGTTTTTATACGGAAGCAAGCAAACGTCGTGTTTTCCTCACTGTATCTTTTTCTCAATGGTATCAAAGGGGTTAGGAGGCCCACTAGTGAGGGAAGTATTAGTCTCTGCTTGCCCATATTATTAGGGTGTGAAATCCTTCAACTTGAAAACAATTACCGCGATCAAGGCGGGTAGTAGGTGCTCAATCATGAACCGGTAGCCCACAAGCAACTCCCCACTAGAACAACATACGAAAAAAATCTTGGCAGCACTCTGAACAGAGACCCCTTAGCAGTGGGGCGCGCCTTGGACGAGTTTGTCGGACGTCGGCAAGCCCAATCAGCAGGATTCGACGTGCAACCAATTCCCGGCAAGAGCACAGGAAATCACCCTACGACGCTCCAGGCAACGCTATGTACACACGCCATTCCTTTTGTAAGCCAGAGTAAAAGTAATCGTGGTTGCAATGGTTGCAATAATCACGCGTCTCTAGCTTCCTTTATCTCGCCGTTTGAGTGACGAAAATGGTATATTCTCTGCAAATGCAGACAAGGATGCCAAATGCACAGAGGTATTACTCGATCACGGGACTGTCTTTAACGCTCCAACGCCTGCTGAAATTGCGTTTACAAAGTTGCAGTGCTTGTTTAGTCCTGCGCACGAGAGAGGTCACTTTTCACTACTTCAAGAAACGTTGGGTGCTTCATCCACTATAGAGGAAACTCTTGAGGATTTCGTTGAAAACAGCTTATGTCACATTCATTTGTCCGCTCCTCCACGTGGTGCCACTGGCAACTGCACGCTCCTGCGGGCTGAACTGATCGCGAACATTCGAAAGCAGGCGACAGGCCTTCCAAGGAAAGGATGGTTGGTCGAAGTGGCCATTCGAAATGAGATGTATACTGCCCGGTGGGCCCTTGAACGCTGATTACAAATCTGCCCTCCATTTCTGCTGAACGATTCCCTGGACAAAGTTATGCAGGAATTTTGACCAGTCTAGGCTTCTGATGCGATATTTTCATCTCGACACAATTGTTGTCGTGTCTCTGTCCAACACAGAACAAGATGACAGTTGTCCCAGACTGGAATATTCCACTAGTAACCAGTTCCTTACAGTGTTCGAATGCTCCGCCTACCCGATCTCAGGGATTTCGAGTATATGTGAGGCACACCAGAAACCCCCAAATTTGCTAAAATCTGGAATTAGAGGTGGTCTGGTGCTCTGGAAATCATCACTGCAGGTATTTTTCATAAAAATGTCTTGTTCACATTCTGGAGGGGCAGGGTGTGCAGGACCTGCAACTCCCTTGGCGAGCGTTTTTACGCTGAGAGAATGAATTGTGCCATTTGAAAGATAAGGAGGAATCTGTAATTCCTTTTATTTGACTTTCCACCGACACGATTGTCGAGGAGAGCTGGAAATGTGCTGCCGAAGTGTTCCATGAGGCAGCTCAATCTGGACATGGCATCAAGAAGTCTAGAAGGCGTTCAACTGATAAGCAGCCGTGGGTGGACTAATGGCGATTCGCAAAGAAAGAAACGGTTTGCAAGAAGAAGAGGCGTTACCACGCGTTTCTTGACGACAAGTCAGCTAATAGCTGGCGGAGGTACATACAGGCGAAGAGTGCAGCAAAGAAGGCTCTGGCTGATGTGAGATCGAAAGACGTCAGTAAGGAGCTTGATATACGCGATGGAGAACGGCATCTTAGCATCTTAGTCAACCTGCCACGGCTTGACATCGTCAGACCTAAGATGTCGGAAACTTCCCTGGCGTCAACGACGGTGGCCGTCATTTGACTGGATCGAAAGAAGGTGCTGAGGCAATAGCATGGTTTCTTCGAGCATGTTCCGATGTAGAGCATACACATCCGGCCATCTCTTTCGTCTCCTCAGTATATGGTCCCGTTCAGAAAGTAACCGTAGAAGAGACGAAGGCGGCTCTCAGAAAGATGAAGTCAGGCAAAGCAACAGGACCTGACGACGTGGCAGCCGACTTGTGGAAGGCACGGTGCTGTACCCTGCAGAATGGTTGACGAATTTCCTTCAATCAGGTCGTTGCTGAGAAGGAGCCTTAAGGACTGGCAAGAGAGCACGACGATTCCGATTCGGGA